TTTAAAAAAAACCCAAAATTTTTTTTTTTTTTAAAATTTTCCTTTCAGGGGTTTTTTTTTTTTTTTTTTTTTTTTTTTACAGCTGCTGTGTCAGAGTCTGGCAGTGTTTCTGTTTTTCTCCTTTTATTTTAATCTTGGTGGGTGTATGTGTTAGTTACACAGCGGTGCAGGAAGCTGTTGCGCTAATCTTCACATTTGACTTGCAACATGTGGCAGCGAGAGCCTCCCGAAATCTCCAACAGATTGCGCTGGTTGTGTTTTGGGGAGTGAGCACATGCTGTTTTGTGTTAAACAGCTGTGTGTGAGCGCAAGTCCAGTTTAAATTGAATTAAGCGCTTAAAAACAACAAATTGAAGCAGCACTTCACAGATTGTAGGCCAATTATTTTCAGTAATCACATTTTTCAAGCTTTTTTTCTGTAATTGTGATTAAAAACCCGCCTTCTGCAGGTGTAATAACAGCGAACAGCCCTGCTGTGGCCTATTTCGGTTAGCTGTTGTGTTTATGACTCACTTTTTGACTGACGTCTCATCCATGTGTTTTAGGAGCTGGGATGGTCGTGGACTGGGAACAGGAAACTGGTTTGCTCATGACTTCGGGAGACGTGAGAGTCATTCGGATCTGGGACACGGACAGGGAGATGAAGGTCCAGGTACTTGAAGCTTTTCTTTTCTTTCCTGGTGTTTGTTCTTTATTACATTTACAGGTTTGCTACAAAGTCTGGAAATAAATTATAATATTTGATTACTTTTTTCAGGTCTTGATAAAGTTGGAGAAATAAAATAGAGTGAAAAAAGATTTGTATTTCCAAACTTAATTCCCATCCAATTTAATTTTTCTGTCTAAGTTGGTGTCCATCCTTCGTTTTTTTTTTTTTTGTTTTTTTTTATTTTGTTCTGGTATTTTTTCATTTTCTTACTTGCATCATTCCTTCTTTTTTCCTTGCATCCTTCCATTTTACTTTCTGTTCTTCATTCCCCACTTTCTTTGTTTTATCCCTTCTTCCTTCTAACACCATGTGTTTCCTTCCTTCTTTTGGTTCTTTCCTGTCCTTCCTTCTTGGCTTGCTTCTTTTGTTTCTTTTTTCCTCCTATTTTTTCCTTCTTGCCTTCCTTTTTTATTTTTTTAAGATTTTTTTGTTTGTTTTTGGGACAAGTGGCCAAGTAGAGAGAGAGAGAAAGGTAAAACCAAGATTTCAGAATTAAGCTCCAGACAGCTATGACCAATAATCTCTGTACCTAATATAATATAATAATAATAGCCTTCTTCCTTTTAATCTTATCCTTATGTCATTCAATATTTCCTTTTATCATTCCTTATTCCCTTTGATTTTCCATCATTATTCTTTTTTGTCTCCTTTTGCCCATTTCCTTTCTTTTCCTTTGTCCTTCCATCTTTTCTTGTATCCTACATTCTTCTTCTTCCTTCCTCATGTCATTCATTTTTCTTCTTCTCCATTTTTCATATTTCCTTTTCGTCCACTGCAATTTGTTTCCTGGCCTCTGTATAAACATCTGCCATAACCTCAAAGTGAACATTTGTTTTTTCTAGTTCAAAATTAGATTTTAAATAAGAGTCTGGAGGGAAATTCAGGGTAACTTTGAAAGTTTACTGATCGGAGCGCTGCCTGTGAACTAAATCAACCTTGACGTACAGTCACTATGTTAGTTGGCTTCATCTATTTAACTAATGTAACCAACCTCAGTGTGCTAATTATTGTCATGATGGATGGACTTAATACAAGTACAAATGACCTGTGGCTGCATATCGAGTCCAACTTCAAATGAGTCGGGCATGATGGATGAATTCATAGGGAGAGGTTAGTGTGAAATTAGTGTTACCTGTTGAAACCTCGACTAAAAGGTTGCTGTGTGTGTGTGTGTGTGTGTGTGTGTGTGTGTGTGTGTGAATCAGGACATCCCGACTGGAGCCGACAGCTGTGTGACCAGCCTGTCCTGCGACTCCCAGCGCTCGCTCATCGTTGCAGGTCTGGGTGACGGATCGGTGCGCGTCTTCGATCGCAGGATGGGCCCCAGCGAATGGTGAGGTCCCTCACACCGGATCCTGCACACATCTTTGTTTCCTCATCAAATTAAGCTCTATTTGGATTTATGATTTAATTTCCCTGCCCTGTTTTATTTAAACTGCCTCTCTTTTGTTTTGATTTAAGGCAGAGGAGCTGTGGCGGTTTTTGTCCACATGAACTCCCTCTGAGTCCTACATTATTCACTAATCTGTATTTATTGTACTTAAAGTGCTGTAAATCTGCCTCTGGGGTTGTCACTTCTTTTAATGGACCGTGGTGGCACTGTGTCCTGCCCCTCAGCTGGTAAAACATTATTTTAATTTCAGCCCCTGTGGGCTACAAAAAAAGAGCAGCTAAAATGTAGAAAGGCACATAAATCTTTAAAGAAAGAAAGTAAATGTAATGGCTCCCCTCAGGCCTGTGGCTACATCTCAGAAGTTTTGTTTCTCCCTCTGCGAGAGCCGGAAGCCGAGCTCACCTGGGTCGTTTGCAGGAGATGCGCTGAAGGGATATGGGGAAAATCTACAATGCAGCTTCGAGTTGAAGTTTCGCTAGTTTTATGTTTGCTTTTCTCAGCATTTTGTTGACATTGTTGGGTTAATGGGGGTCTCTGTATCTTTTGTGTTAGACATTTCAGATGCTGTGCCTGTGCAATCTATAATTCATATAACTCTGTTTTACTGTATGGATTAGGTCATTTAGATTCTGCACAGCCCCGGAGCCATGATGAGGCACATTTCAGAATGCATGCTCACAGGAAGTCGGACGTTTGCTGCCTTAGTCCTGAAGCCATACTGCCACCCTGTGGTGTTCTGTCTGTATTGCATGATGTATTATTAAGAAACACTTTATTGCTTGGTGCTTAGTTTTTATTTTAATACTTGAGCTTTACACAATCCCTTAATCTTTGAAGCATACGGCACTTTATAGAGATAGGCTAAAAGTAAAGATGGACAAATACAAAGCTCTGCCTAATTGAAAACGATGCAAGACAAGCAGTTGCATTCAGAAGTCGTCAGCCTCCTGAACAGAGTCCACCTGTGTGTCATTTAATCTCGTTATAACTCCAGATGTTCTGTGAAGCCATCCTAAGCTCAAAACGTCTCCCAGAGTTTATTCAGTTCATCGTCTCAACATGGAAAGGGAATGACACAACTACTGCACACCGGCCAATTCACTGCTGAGCTGAACCAGAGCTGCAATCTAATGATTTACATCAAAGCCTAGACAAAGACCAGACCTGAATCTTTTGGTGACAAAGATTGAAAACTGATGTTTTCACAGCTGCTCTCACTAAACTTTAGCACAAAAAAAAAAAAAGCTTGTACATGCATAACCCCAAAAGACCTGCAGCTGTATTTGTGTGAAGATGTGGCTCTAAAAGTGTTGTAATTAATGTATCATTCATGCTCTCTTCACATGTATGCAGTACTTTGTGTAGGTATATCACAAAAATTACCAAAAAAAAAAATCAGTTACAGGTTGTGGTTGTAGCATGAAAGAAAACTTGAAAAAGATTAGTGAATTTCGCAAAAGAATCAATTATCGTCTGCTTCAGATAAACTTTGCAATCCCCAGGGGAAAAAAAAAAATGTTTTCTAATAATTTCTGTCAGGTTGTGATCTCTCTGCGTTCTTTCCGACTTTTGAACTTCTTCTTTGGTCCGTCGGCATAAAGCCTAATGTTAGCCTGTGGTGTTTCTTTCAGTCGAGTGATGACCTACAGGGAACACGGAGCCTGGGTGGTTAAAGCTCACCTGCAGAAGGAGACGGATGGGAACATTATTAGTGTCAGGTAAACGCTCTACATCACTCAGGCTTTTATTCAGCCCTGTTTGCCTTGGCCGTTCTGACGCTCACGCCTTGTCCCAGTGTCAACGGAGACGTTCGCTTCTTTGAACCGCGGACGCCAGACTCGATTAATGTGCTGCAGACTGTAAAGGGATTAACGGCTTTGGACATCCACCCACAGGCCAACCTCTTCGCCTGGTGAGTTTGCTCATGTGGTCACACAAGTTCACCCTTAAAAAAAAGAAAAAAAAGAAAAAAGAGCTTTGTTACCATCTATTCCATGATTCTCTAACCTTGTTTGTTCTGCTGTTGCGGCTGCAGTGGATCGATGAACCAGTTCATAGCCGTCTACAACACTAACGGCGACGTGATCAGCAATATAAAGTACTACGATGGCTTCATGGGACAGAGGATCGGTGCTATCAGCTGTTTAGCTTTCCATCCATACTGGGTAAAACATCAGCTTTTCTGTGCTGCAGTCAAAGATGTCTGAGAAAACTGATTTTCTGACTAAACGTCTTTGTAACCTTTAATACTGGACTTCTTATTAATGAACATCCGGCATCTAACTTTTGAAGCGAATAATCATGGAAAACGACAATAATGACACTTTTCAGGATCATTGAACACAACAACAATACAAAAATACTGTTTCTGTATCTGAGAATTAAAAACTTGCGACAAAAAAAACTAATTCCAGCAGGTAATCCTAACATTGTCTTTTAATGAGGATTTTTGGGTTTTTATTGCAGCATGTGTTGCTCTAAAATAGTCATACACTTATCTAAAATTGACCTGAAGATGTACTAATGGAAATTTAAAATGAAATTTGTTTCGGCTCCCTGTTTAAAGTTTACCTTCTCTTTTACAATTATTCCATTCGGTGTTTTTGAACCTGACTGCAAGCTAATGACTCACTGCGTATTCCAGACTTTAAGAAATTTCTGAATTAGAATCCGATTAAATTTAAATGTAATGTCTTTTTGTTTTTTTTGGGGGGGTTGCTGTTCTAATTCTTTTCCGAGGCTGCTTTCTGCTACTTGCTCATGCACATCACGTAGTAAAATGAAGGAACTGTGTGTGTTGACCTCTTATTTTCTGTCTCCTTTCAGCCCCACTTGGCTGTGGGAAGCAACGACTACTACATGTCCATCTATTCAGCAGAGAAGAGGCTTAGATAACACACCAGCACAGCTCCTCTCCCTCCCACCTCCACCTTCTAACCCTGTGCCTCGCGCACTGGGATGTAAAGGATGTTTTCTTTTGTTTTGTTTTTTTTTGTTGTTTTTTTTTTGTACATATGCAATTCACCACCGTGAATGTTCAAGTGATGGCTGCTGACAAAAACTCAATGCTACCATGTCTCTATACATACATATATATATATATATATATATATAAAAATATATATATATATAATTATTGTTATTATTATGATTGTTTATTCATATTCTTATTATGAGGCTAATGATTGTAGACTTGGCTGTGCTGAGGAGTTTGTGTGTATATAATTAGCAGAAGAAGAAGAGGTTCTATTTTAAAGAAGTTCTACCCCTGGATGCCTGCAGCTCCTCCTGGCTGCACAGCGAGCATCACTACCTGAATGAACTGTGACCCGACTCCCACACCAGCCCACGGTGGGGTCACACACTGTTGAGACAGGACGCATGGACTGAGCCCCTCCCTTCACACACACACACACACACACACACACACACACACACCTCCCTGCGCTGGACCCTTGTGTTTATGTGTTGCAGGTTCACTGCAAAGAGAAGCAGCTTTAATCCGGAAGTGATGGACTGTGCTTGTTGTTATGAGGGATTATTTTTCTGTGTGTGTGTTGTTATAGCACAGATGTGCCCCACAGTGGGCCCTCATAGCCCAAAACCACAGCGGACCCCCTGTGTGCCAAACATAGTCAGAATCCTCCACCTCTTTATTGCAGCAGTAAAATTGATTTATCCTTTTTTTTTTGTTTTTGTTTTTTAATTGAGTGAAAACATGCATCTCCTCCCAGAGAACACAGCAGCACCCACCTGGAGGCTGATTGGCTCGCTTCCCTGGTTACCACCCAAAGCAATAAGGCTGCTCCTGCTGCAGCTCGGCAATACAAACACTTAGTTTGATCGTTTCCACCAGCAGAGCGTCGGGCAGGTTCTTCTGCTTCCGTCAGAGACAGGAAGGACATCGGATGTTGTCACTATCTAAACTCTGCTGATCAACGTAAACAAATACCATCCGAAGAGAAGCTAGAAAACAAGCTTTGCATAAGTACTGAAATACCACTTTCTCTTCTCGCTCTGGCAGGATTTTATATTAATTTATTTATTATTTTCAGCTCCAGCTTCCTTTGCATCGATCATGTGTCGGAGAGCTTGCGGCCTGTTTCGTGTTAGCTGCCTGCTCGTCTCCACGTCAGTCTGTGCTTTAGTCGGCACCCTTGATTTCACTCAGGAATCTAAAGAACCCACCTCAAACGGCTGACCTCAGAGCAGTGAGGATGCTCAGGTTAGTCACGCGTTATTGAGATGAGTGTCACTGTGGTGCATTTAGGGTATGGCTCTGAGGTTCGGTTTTTGTCCTGTGCGTGCCCTACCACCAACAACGTGCCTCTTCCTCCGGGCCGCAGCTTTGCCTTCTTAGCTTCTTCTTTTTAAGTATTACCTTTCTGTTCTTGTAATTTATGTTTTTAAGTGCTTCCTTTTGCATCTTATTTGCCTCAGCCTCGCCCGCTCAGACGCTACCCCGCCCCCTCCTGCGTCACATGACTGTAAGTTTGTCCTTTCCCTGTAAAAGTCACCGCTTGGAGCCAGCGGTCCGGACCACCACAGCACCGTGCCGCTTCAGCGCTGTTTGGTTCACTTCAGCAGGCATCAACAGACCAGAACCACATTCAACTAAAGTTATCCTGCTTTGAGTTTTAAGATTTTAGACTTTGGGGGGGGGGGGAGAGACTTTAACACAGTAGTAAGAAAGGAAAAGTGAAAACAATCAGGTTTGTCTCTGTGACTGTAGACGCCTTCACTGACTGTGGTTTATCAAACAAGAGATGAAATCAATGAAATAAACCAAATACAACACCTGACCTTTGTCTCTTTCTGAATAATGTCTGATTATTAAGTTTTCTGCTAACATTTGAATATAAAACAAACTAAACCTCTGGAACTTTAGCTTCTTATCAAAATATTCTAGCAGTATCTTTACAAACCTCTTTATAGGTTATTGTGCAAACATTTGAGTATATTGTTTGGTCCTTTTGTTCAGTTTCTTTAAATGTCAATAAATTACATTTCAGGGATTAGCGACTCTAGAACCATCAAACTACAGGTCCTTGATTCACATTCAGTGATAGGAAAATGGCCTGTTTATGTTCAACAAAGGAAAATTATTCTGCAAAGAGGAGTGGGCCAAAATTACTCAATGGTTACATAAGCAGCTCTTGGTGTAGGTTGTTGCCATAAAGGTTTAGATAGAAGGAACATTTGACAAAGTGAGTTTGGTTTAGAGAGTTATCAAAGAAAGATGGAAAACAGTTTTTTTATATATATTACTTACTCAATTACATTTGCTTAACTTTTTGAGGGGAAAAATACCTTTGAGTAGTTTTACTGCACCATACTTGTACTTGAGCAATAATACTGTGAAGTATTGCTACTTTTACTTCATTAAAATTTAAGGATACTTGGTGTATCGGTGTTAATTTGTATTTGCTGAGTCTTTTGTGCCATTTAGAGGCCAGACAAATACAGTAATCACTCTATATTGTCACTGGAAGCACTTTACCTTTTTTCTGGGATGCATGGACCAGAATCTGCACATAACTTTGTATTTTTTTGTCTGAGGACATCATTTTCATATATCTAATCAGATGTTACAAAGTACTCAATTTCTTGGCTATTTTTTTACTTGAAAATACTTCAACTTAAAAATATGCTGATGTTCTTCTTTTACTTGAGTACGGTTTTTTTGGTAGCCTACCCAACTCTGGTGGTAGGGCTGCTGGTTGAGTGACGGTCCTTATCACTTTTTGGACTAAGTGAGATTTATTGTATGTTTTAGCAGCAGACTTATTAGTCTGCTAGCATATAGCATTTAAACCTGGTGGATCATCTTATTTGAATAAAAATGGAGCAGGTGACCCTGTCTGGGTCACAGTTCTCCCTGTAAATGTTGGTAAAAGAAATTTGACACATGAATGCATGATGAAAGTTCTGAACACTGCATGGCCAAGCAGGCAGTCCAGCATTATTCTCATCACCATTTCACACACACACACACACACAGTATGTGGAACACATTCCACAACAGCAAAGAGTCGGGCGGCGCGAACATCCTGAGGAAACAACACTCGCTTCCTGTCAAATTAAGCCAAGTCGATGGCTGCTTGGGCTGATAACCGCCGCCACTGGGTGAGGTAAAGCACCACCTCAGTGTCTGCTCCCACCCACCAGACCCCGGTCCATCCTCGCATTAACGTGCGGCGCCCGTCAGGCAGCTCCAGTGTCCAGTGCCTAAAGGACAGCCACGACCACCAGGAGCCTCGGCGTTCCTCAGACAGGATGGGCCTCCTGCCACTGATCACCTCCACGCTCCTGTTCAGCTGTAAGGCTTCTCACCCACTTCTCTTCAAACAGGAGATGGTTGATCTGATCTTCACTAACCTGGTTATTTCTTTCTTTTCTCCAATGCTTCCACTCAGGGACAACTCTGAATGCGGGTAAGCATGTTCTGAAATAAATCCTATTTGGACTAAAGTTGTTGTATGAACAGACTAATATATATCCATGAGGGATCATTTTATCTTGAGTAAAGAAGGATGTTTAATATTTTGGTGTTGGTATTGAGCTTGGAGTTGATGTGTAAGAGCAGAGATACTCCTGTTTGGTCAGTGGGAACACTCAGTGGCGGTTATCGGAGTCACTGGTGGGAACTGGTTGGCGAGGATCGTCACACGCCTCTGGAGCTGCTGGCAGTGGGAGGTGGGAATCTGTTCATATCGGCCGCAGATACCGATCTGTAAGGCAGCAGGTCCAGGATGGAAGGAAAGTTTCTGTTTTAACTCTGCTTTGTGTGCTCAAGGCTGGATCGGTTCTTTTGCACTTCTGATATTTAGATTTTATTTCATATGGCAGATTTCATCACTTGTTTTCTTGTAATGCAAGTGATACAGATAAACTAAGTTCACACACAAAAAAAAATCAATGTTTTGACTTACCAAATGGGTAAGTTTAAATCACTTATTTTGCAGCAGTACTGTATAAATTAGGACAAAGTAAATAATAAAATAGTACAATATTTTAAAAAGAAAGGTTCCAGGGTAGAAAAATCTAATAATTTTATATAGAGCTTTGGGAAAAATTAAGAGACCACTTAAAATCATCAGTTTCTCTGATTTTACTTTTTATAGGTACATGTTTGAGTAACATGAATTTTTTTTTTCTTTTATTCCATGAACTACTGACATGTCTCTGAAATTCCAAGCAAAAATTTTGTATTTATTTGTAGAAAACAAGAAATGGTCAAAATAACAAAAAAGATGCAGTGCTTTCAGACCTCAAGCAATTTCAGGAACACAAGTTTACACTCATTTAGAAACAACAATACGAATGTTTTAACTCAGGAAGAGTTCAGGTATCAATATTTGGTGGAATAACCATGAGGTTTTCAATGGGGTTCAGTGCAGTGACCTCTCAATTTGTTTCCAGATCTGTATAGTTTAAGCTGGTCTGTTAATCAGGTCCTGCTTGGGAAACCCAGAAGCAAACCTGAGTCCTGCACGTGCCTTGTTTCCCATCATCAGCCCTGCCAGCTCCTGCTGAATGATGCTGGGCGTGGGCCAGAATCAGTGCGCTCCGAAACGGTGCTAAGTCCCCTGAGCGACCCGTTTGTTAAACAAAGTGCTTTTCCTGCCTCCTCAAGGTTTGTTTACCACCCCTCTCTGAGTCACAGCAGCAGCCACTCAACTCGTATGAGTGGTCTGATAGTTTGACGTCGGCGTGCCGAGGCTTTCTGCCTCCAACTATCCTCATTTCTGAATGCTTAACATTTTCCCCTTGAAGACGAGTCAGGATCAGGCTTGGTGCTGATGTCAGAATGAGAACAGGTTAAGATTAGGTGCTTATTTTCTCTCTATGTTGCACGTGGAGTTTGATGGCTGCAATCATTCGAGGAAAGAGGTGAAATCTGAACCATTTTTTTGTGTTTATTGTGAATTTTCTCTATTCCTGCAGAGTATGTCGTTTATTTAAAGTGGTTGGTTTTCTGGTACAAACACAGTTTTAAGCTTATTGCCTTTTTCTTGGTGATTTTTATCCATTCCAAATTCAGTGTTAATGTATGCTTGGTGTTATTACTGTATGCTGGAGCATCCTCCTTTTTCCATTTCACCCAAATTGTCACCATCAGCTAAAAGTACATTGGATTTCCGGAACCAATGACGCTCTAACCTGGCATTGACAGCAGACCCTCTAGTGCGACATTGAAGTCACATTTATATTGTCATGGTCTGAGGTAGTCCCAGCCATGAACCAAACCATATCAATAAAACTGGCACCATCACATCTGATTGAAATCTGCAGCGGCCCAAATGGACAAGCCAAGTGCCTTCAGAGAAAAAGGTTTCATGGTCAGAAGAGGCAAAGATTGAGCTGTTTGTGAATTGATCAAATAAACTCTCACAATAAAAGTGGTCCAATATCCAGATATCCATATTTATGGTCACAAAAGTCATGTGGTTTCCTGGAAACTGACTTTTAGGCATCTAATTGTTTATTGTTTATATGTACAGTCATATCAATAAACTAGAATATTAATGAAAAGTTATAAATTACCTACATCATGTAGGTGATTTATATAGTCTGTTTTCAAACTTTCATTTATGTAAAGAATGATGATTTGTTGCTTACAACTAATAAAAATGTTTAGCTGGCATTTATGATTAGATTATTACATCAGACCAATTTAAAAAAAATCTTTCCTAATGCAGAAATGTGGGTCTTGTGAAAAAAATAAGTAAAACCTGCATAACGATAATCTTGAAACGAGCTTTATCGGAACCCATATTCTAATTTATTGTGATTATTAGGTTTAAACTTGAGTTGTTTCAGTTGTTGATGTTGTACAGTAACTCCACTCTAAAAAAAAGAGTTATTTTGTTTCTATAAAAGCTCAGAATGAATGCTGCGATTCGTGCTGATGAAGAGGGCGTATAAACCTCTCAGCAGAAATGTTTTCTGTCTCGCTGTGACGTTGACTCCCAAAAAGAGTTGCTGACCCACCAAGCCTCCCTGTCGGTGATGCAGACGTTCCCCTGTCCGTTTCTGACCATTTCCCTCCTAAAGTGAATGATCAGCTCATTCATTGGATTGACCCCCTGAAAACCTCGGCAGAAACGGGATGTAATTTAGACGAATCGGCGTAAAACATTAAACCATGTCTGCGATACACCCCCTACGCCTCCTGGAAGCCATTTAATTCCTCAAAATCAGTGTTGTCAATGTGAGCTTCCCCCTTTTAATTTGACTTCTTTAAAGCTAATATGATTGTCAATTAAACTCTGATAATCGTTGCCTATGTCACACCCCAGCTGTAAAAATAACGAAAGTGGACCTGTCCATCGAGCCCAGTGCTGACGTGGAAAGAAACACCGACGTGGCTTTGAGATGCAAGGCCGAGGTTCTCACCTCTGGGACGGAGGCACTGAATCGTGTGTACACCGTATACAAAGGTGAAAGTGTAATCTACAACAAGACAACCAGCTCCTCTGAGGATTTGCTCTACCGCCTGCCTCAGGCCAGAGTCTCCAACAATGGCAAGTACAAGTGCGCGATAACCATCATGGGAAAGGCGAAGACCAGCGAAGCTGCAACACTCACAGTGACAGGTGAGTCTGTTTTCACCTGAGGATGTTTAACAGGTACGCTCTGTGTTTGAGAAAATAAAACATTGTGACAATAAATACATTGGTGAAAATGGAGAAATCAGTTTTTCTCAGAGATTGAATCTATAATAGGTCATGTTGACATGAAATATGAATATTATGCTATTATTATTATTATTAGTATTACTGTTCAAAACGATAAGATCAGTCGCCCCTTTAGAAATATCGTCACTGAGAAAAGCGTTCAACATTTATTTTCCACACTGTACATTGAAGAAAAAGCTATCTGTGGTTTGATTGGAAGTTATTTAACACTTGGAGGAAAGGGTCTGTTTCCGTTTTTGGTTTGCATCAAATCTCACTCATGTTTTTCTATGTTCACTGGTTTCCAGGCATGTCAACGCCTGTTCTCCGCATCAACAAAGCAAATATCACTGAGGGGGAATCAGTAACAGCCACATGTTTAGCACAAGGAGAGACAGGTTCCCTTTTGTTCAGCTTCCACGATAACTCCAAGGAAGTCGAAAATGGAGTGTGGGTGACCTCCAGCAGACTCACGTTTGTCCCTAAAGGCGTTGGGAACCACAACATTCACTGCTCCTACCTTGTCTTAAACATGCCATACCCATCTAAGTCGCAACAGAGCAACACAGTCACTCTTACCGTTGAAGGTACATTAGATTTGTTCATTGGTCAATTCTTCCAAGTCTCAACACACCTCATGATTTATGGGTTTTCCTCCGCAGAACTTTCCATCGAACCAGTCCTGAAGATTTCCCCTCAGGACAATGTCTACGAAGGTGACACTCTCAACATCACTTGCTCGGTTAGTAATTCTACGAAGGGCTACCAAGCAGGAGAGCTCTTCCTGAGTCAGGACACCGAACTGCTCGAGAGTGGAGAAACATATATCCATGTTAACTGGACTGCACATGCAAGAACCCCAGTCCTTACCATTAGATGCCAGATGGATCTAGGAGATGTAGAAAAAGTCGTCAGCAAGACGGTTTCAGTGAGGGGTGAGCAGACGCAGAAAGAACGATGTTACTGCATGAAATCCTTTCTGACTTTTTGCTATATTCATCATATTCTGATTGAGATTATTTCACTTCTCTGAGACCCTTCCACATATCACGATGTTTTCAGCGACTGCACGATAAATTGTTCGTTCTCAATCCATCCACAGAGCTGTTCTCCGTGCCCACTCTCAAGGTGTCTGCTGTCGAAGTCTTCCAAGAAGACGAAATTAGTCTCACATGCAGAAGTGAGAAACTGTCTTATGACAGGCTTGAAGGAGAATCCCTCATTTACAGCCTTGAACCTTTTGACTACCAAATGGTTCGGAAAGGGAATGGAGTATTTGTTGGCAAAGCCAAGACAATTGATTTCAACTATACATGTACAGCTGCTGCAAAGGGCATCAAGAAGAAGAGCAACGTGCTGACAATTCATCCTAAAGGTGAGCACATCTCTGACAAAAACAGCAGCTTCACGTTTGGTTTTTGATGTTACATACCATATTTGGTCTTCATCTGTATTCTTTATAAATAATCATGTGGCGGAAGCTGTTTGGGTTTGTTCGTTTTCGGTTCAGTTTGCAATTATTTTATGATGTGATGAGTGCCGGGTCATTCTTAATTAAAACCATAGAATATAATAGCAGTGTATGATTCAGATATGCCGTTTGATAAATCACTTTATTCTGGACATGAACTTGTTGCATAAATTTATCTCAACCTTTACCATATCAATATTTCTTCTCCATTTATGTTTATTTCTTCAAATACTTTGACTTTGAAGGCTTTGCTGATGCCATTTCTTGACTTTTCTCAGTAGATTTACTCATTAGCCCCTGTTAAAAACTACATAGTTTGTTGTTTCTGCTACTTTTTGATGCTGCTTTGGGGTTAGTGTGAGGTGTTTAATATTTCCTCATAGGTCTGTGCAATATTTAGAAATAATGCGAAATACAAAAGGTTGATAAATTTATATTACTAATAATGTACTAATTTCAACTGCTGTCCCACTGAGTTGGTAAAGAAAGTGCTCTTTAACCTGTCTGTCACTAGAGGACCCAAATTTGGGTCCTCTGTGAATGACAACCTGTGAACAACAGGTTAAAGATACTTTGTTTAAAGACACCCATCAGTTATATTTTTTGCTTCTTCCTTGTATTTGTATTTTCTGAACTAAACGTTTTGAATTGCTTTTCAATTACCTTAGGCTCGATTTTAATTTTTCTATGTCTCTCCTTTTTAGTTCCCGTCTCGACTCCAAAGATCTGGGTCTCTGGCAGTGCAGTCCTTGGGAAGAGAGTTGCAATCTTCTGTCTGTCGGACACAGGCACCCCACCCATTACATACACCCTGTGGAAGGCTAGCAAACAAAACCAAATTGCCGTTGTTCATGAGTTCAATAAAGCTGCTAACTTTTCAGTCGTCATCAATGAAACTGGAAGACTAAACCACTACCTCTGCACAGCAAGTAATGGGGACAGGACGCCTGGACTAAGTGACAAACTCCAAACAGCTGTCATTGGTAAATATCGAAATCTGAATTAAAGAATAGCACATTTATTTGGCTAATATTGTTTTGTACGAAACCCAGCCTGCTTTGCAGAATATTCTCAAGGACAGGAGTGCTTCAGTTCTCATGAGATCAAATATGTTCTGTCCCACAACGGTGCCACCATCTTGCTTTACCACTGGGTTGGGTTCCCTGGTGACAGAAAATGTGTTTGGGTCTCATTTTTAACCGCAAACTTTTTCTTTGTAACATTTTTGACAACTCTGTGTGTTTCCAGTAAATGACATGGACTATAACTCGAGATTATAACACAACACATGTATATTTGTTTTCTTTTTTTTTCTTGCCTCTAGAGCCAATGACCACCGCCTCTCTGATGGTCGTTCCTGACGTCGGCGACATTTCCGAAGGACATTCGGTCATCCTCATTTGTTCTTTCTTGGGCACACCACCTGTGACAGTTAAGTGGTTCCGGGACAGTGATGATCTGAATCCACTGGACACCACGACCACTAATTCTAACAACACAAACTACGAATTCATTGCGAACAAGGAGCACACCGACAGTTACTACTGCCGGGCTGAGAACCGAGCCAACTCTGTTAAAAGTAATAAAATCAACGTAGTAGGTGAGTCTGATTTCTGTAAACCACCTCGTCTTTCCTCATTCTATCCTCTAAATAAAAGTAAAACTAGGGACTTTATTAGATATTTGGTCTGATCTGTTAGTATGTTCTACCTTTTAATGAGCACAAAAGATTGTACCATGTTTTTTTTTTTATTATTATTCTAGAAATGTAATCATCATCCAGTTGGCCTGTCACAATAAGCAGTAAATGAATTAGTCACATGTAAAATTAAAAAGAGCTCAACAATTTCCATTTTCATTATTTATCTTCTTTCTCTTTTCTCGTTCTCTTCTCAGTTTGGTGCATTGGTCTCAACTAGCCCATTTCTGAAGGATTATTTTGTTTGCAGAGACTTCATAATTCATTTTATTTGTTGTTTAGTTTATTTATTTTGGATATTTCAAATATCTTCCAGTAGAAGTGTTAAATGTTTGTTAGAATTTAAAGTTTATTGATCTCTTAATGTGTTGTTGCATTATTATTCCTTTCCCTGAAAAATGGTCTCAAAGTGATAATTTTCTCATTTATCGCAATAACCTCTGGGACAATTTATCGTCCAGCAAAATTTGTAATCCTGACAAACCTAGTTCATGAGTCTTTCTGAGTTTTAAAAAAAAAAATCACTTGAATTTTGATATTTCAGGATTAAGCCTAATAAATCAACGCATTCTCTAGAATCTGATAGCAGCAATTCTCTGTCAGCATTTTCTGGAACAGAACTGGGATTTGTCCAGACTTTGAAATAACAAAGCAGACCCAGAACATTACACTGCCAGCATGTTTCACTGTGTGCCTGGTGTTGTTTTTCCAGAAATGCTCCATTCGTTTTATACTAGATGTAACATAAAACACATTTCCCCAAATGTTCCCCTTTTTTCTCATTAGTCCACAGGATATTTCCCCCAGAAGTTTTTGGGATGCTTTTCTGGCAAATGTGAGAAGGGCTTTGCGTTGTTTTTGATCAGCAGCGTTTGTGGCCTTGAAACTCTCCTGTCGATGACCTTTTTGCACAGTTTGTCTTTCTTCTAGTTGAATTATGAACACTGAAGTTTGAAGTTTGGTCTGCGGTGCTCCAGATCTCTTTTGTGACCCCCAGGATTAGTTGTTGATGCTTTCTTGGAATAATGTTGGTTGGCGAGTGTTTCATGTTTTCTTCTTTTGTGAATAAATGTTCTCACTGTTGTTCACTTGACTCCCAAAGCCAGAGATGTTTTTAGCCTTTGTCATGTTAAGTCAGGACCCGTTTCAGTGATTTCTTGATTTTATTTTGCAATGAAATTTTTACAAGTCTATTTTACAAATCTACCAGTCCATAAAACATTTACATTCCTCTTCAATCTCAGAAACTGACACACACTTGCTTTATGAAAGATCTGGTGGTGAATCACACCTGCAAAGGGGGAAAAAATAGTAGAAATAAAAAAATGAAATACAACAAAAACAAATTAATTTTCTACAGAGCTTGCTGAAATAAAAATAATCAATAGTTTTTCAAGTCTTTTCTTTCTGATATCTTTTGTTTTTCCTCTCCTTAAAACTCTTATTTTTGCTGCAATGCTCTTCAAGTAACATTTAGATCCCTCCTGACTGACACCTCAGTCCATTTCTGTCATTTGTTTTCTTAAATTGGCGACTTTGGAAACTTTAACTCGTGTCATTTGCTCTTTATTTGTCTATTTATCCCTATCCACCAAAATCCGCTGATAAACATGTAGATATTTGTAAATTTAATAAAACGATCAGAAATTTCCTAACCTCCCTGTACTAATATTTTTTCTCTAAAACTAGCAAAAAACATAATAATTATAAAATTTTAAATCTTTCTTCATATCCTCATTTCTTATCTCATGTTTCTTTTTGTCCTTTGTGTCTCTCTTTGCAGTCGGCATGGCGATGTGGAAGAAATTACTGATTCCTGGGACCATAATACTGGTGGTGTTCTCACTGGTGATGGTGGGCTTTATTCTGTTCACAAGATCCAGGAGAGGTAGAGACATCTACAGTCCTCCAGACACTCAGGCCGCTTACATCTTTAAATAAAAACCAGCCTCCCTCCTCCTGCTGCCTCCCCCTCTCTTCTGACTGATCGTTTCTTATTGTAGGAAAAAGAGAAAGAGCTGCTGAATTGTCAGTGTGAGTTGGCTTTGACTTTTCGCTTCTCCTGAATGTGCTGGATGTTTTAGGAGCTGGTGAAGGGTGTTCAGATTTATCAGGTGGTTCAGACGATGCGGCAGAGTTTGGATGCGGCGGGTTATGGGAAGCACTTGGCGTGTTTTGCATGTTTGTAGACAGAAACACAATTTGTTCTTTCAACATTATATTCCTTGTTCCGGTAGTTCATATTTATAGGGAGCCAAATGGATAACTGCTTCACTTTTATTTACTATTGTTGTCCTGCAGGGTATCCAAAATGATTTAGTATTTATTTACCTTTTAAACATAGCTCCAAAGATCAATTGTTTCATGATAAACTACAGAACAGAAACCATGAAATAATTAGATAAATAATCACTTAGATTTGCATAGAAGAAACATTTTCAGGAATTGCATATTGTTAATTCTGTAATAATAATAATAATAATAATAATAATAATAATAATCTTAAAATCTCAAATGAGTTTTATGGATTTTTTAAAAATGTATTTACTGAATGATGAGACTTTTGCTTTAATTAGTAAACATAGTTTTTTTTTCCTCATTTTACTATTACGCATGAATTGATGCTATCAGACCATTGCTAAATAAATATTAACCAAAGAAAACAAAGTTCTAGTTCTGCGGTTGGCTACCTCACTGAGTCAGTTTGCACATCGTGAACATTTTACGCTGATTTGTTGCTTTTACTTGAGTCACTTCCTTCTTCAGGTCCTTTCTTGTCAAGTTGTTATTTGTCGCAGTTATGTTTGTCTTATTGGAACATTGTTCTGGAGTCAGTTTAGAGTAAAGGTAAATTAATACTGATGCATTTTTTTCTTCCACGACTTATGGATAAGTGAAAAATGTGGGCAGAAACCACAGTCGCACGATTACAATGTCTACTACATGCAAAACACCTCGTGTAGTTTCTTTAGTGTTTATCTGACGTCACGTTTGCCTGCAGCTGACTTTATTTTCACCATTTCTCAGAAAGCCTGCGAGCCCTAAATCAGATGACTCTTTAACAGTGGCTCTAACCCACGACACAGAGGTTTATAATGCAGCCACAGGTAGCTTGGTTTTTACCGTCCTCCTGTGTGTTGCTTACAGGCCCCATCAGTATTTATCACCTAACAAGCCATTATCCCACCCTAAACACTCATCACACTGTGTTGTAACACCTTTACTCACAGCAATAATCCATGCTCTGGCCTGCATGCATGAAGAGGTCAGATCAGGATGACCTTATTGTTGCCTGTGCTTCCTTTGAGTGGCAGATTTCTTGTTTTTTTTTTGTTTTGTTTTTTTTGTGCATGCTCAGCATGTTTATCATTGAGGACAAAATTATTATTAACCCCCCTGTGTGATTTGATGTTTCACAAAATGTTCCTAGGTGCTGATCCTTGCTCTCAACAGAGCAAGAATCAGTTTTCTTTGGATAGCGCTGTTATTTATTTGTATTTGCATAAAATAACCAAGCCATTTTAGGGAAAAAATGCAGGGGTCAATATTATTAGCCCTCTAAAAACTGACCTTTTTATTAAGGCAGCTTTAATGCACACCAGTGGTTTGAACTGAGATGTATCCTCTAACCTTTAATCCTTCATTAAGGATTTCAGCTTTCATTTAGGAATGCATCATATCAAAAACAACAACAAAAAAATCTCTTTAAATTGGAGAAGGAAGGAGAGACCTTTAACCTAAAGAATATACTCTCCCCACAGTGGAACACGTTAGAGGGAGTATCATGCTGTGGTGAAGCTTTAGCACAGCTGCACTTTGAAATCTCTTCTTGCTTGAAGGAAATCAGAATAAACAACCCTAGATGAAGAATTTGAAAAGAGCAAAAAAAAAAAAACCCTGAAGAAGTCAGCAGTAAAACATGCGTCGCTCCTGGTGAAGAGCTGCATTCACCAAACATTTCTGACTGATGTGCAGCCAGCATAGAAAATCTGGAGTGAACTGAAGCCAAAGCTCCGTTCCAGATCAGAGAGAGGAGAACGATGTCTAATTGATCAGGGAACTTGTCAGATTGTTGAAAAGTACAACAAATTACTTCTGGTTTTTTATCCAATAACAAATAAATACAGATAAATAACTGGAACAGGAGGGTAATATTTTTGGCCCATGTGTTGTTGTTTTTTTTTTGAGTGAATAATGTAAACATCCCAAATGAAAATTAGATGTTTGAAAAAAGCAGGGGCGTCTGATAAATTCTGTCCTTAAATGTGTGATAAATCTCCTTGTCCTCGTATTATTATTATTTTTTTTGCCTTTGCATGTCGTGTTATGCTTGAGCATGAGTCACAGCAGCATTAGCAATGAGACACAGTTTGTTTTCGGTGTATCCGCAAGAAGGGAAGTTACTTTTCTCTCATTTTCTGCAACCTGCTTAGAGCAGCCATTATCCTCTTGTTCCAGACGCAGCGTCGTTCTATGATGACAAGGAGGGGAGAGTGACCAATGGGACGCGAGGTAGCGTTGCATCGCTTCCTGCAGACATCAGCAACAGGAGCAGCTACAGTATCCCAGCAACAGTGTAGAGGCAGAGTGCTCTATCTTTAAAGAAAACCAAACTCTGAAAGACTTACGAGACAAACACAGGAGACAGAAAACACTTTCCTGATGTTTACGACATTTTGGAGGAAGTGGACAATATTTTGTTTCCCTGCAAAATGGAGGGCCCCATTTTTTGTTTTGTTTTTTCTTTGTTTTTTTTTTTTTAAGAACAAGAAATAAACTAGGGACCACTGCTCCCTCTCCCCTCCTCTTTCAGTCATTGTCCTAACAATCGTTTTTTGACCTTTATGTCGTTTTTCCGTGTGACTGCATGCCCGTTTCTTGTTTCATCTGTTCATCTAATCTACATGAAGTAAACCTGATAACACTGATCTGTATATATTATAACAGGAAATGTGTGTATATAATTTTGGTTAATTACTGGACTGATGACGGAGAGCAGTTCTGTAGAATAAAGGTGTTTATTTTATTTAGAGGTGTGTCTCAACCGTTCATTCATTTCTCCCGCTTTTGAACGACACCTGAATTGCTGAAATATGTTGTTAAACACTGGCAGTCAGAAGTTTACATGCACTAATCATAGGTTTTGGGGCTTCTGTTGATGCATAAAATATAAAATAGGAAGTTTTTTTTTCTGTACATTACAGAAACAGGCTGGGACATGTGATACACAAAACCAAGCGACATTCATTTAGATGTCCCTTATGGAGCTCCACATGATTTCTTTTTGTTAACCTTCCAGTTCCTGGTTTAATTATCCTGACCACTATTCTTGACATTGACAGGATTATAGAACTTGTTGGTTTTCAGGGTGGATATGATCACATTTTGACAGAGATGATGTCATTTCTTCAGGACTGCCATTCAGAGTGAGTCTAAAATTTCAACCTGGCCTACAGAGTGCTATCAAGAGAGCAGACTTGGCTTCCACACCTTCGTAGCTAATCACATGGACAAGTCGGAGCTCTTCTTGATTGGGCAAGAAAAATGATGCTGCTTGGTTACAATGAGAAGACTTATGTTTGGGGCATTCAAAGTAAAGTTTTCAAACCAAACAACTCTGTGCCTGATGTCAAGTGTGGCGGTGGTTGTGTCATGGTGTGGGTTTGTTTTTCTGGCAGTGGTACAGGTACATTAACAACCTGGGTAGAATAACGAAGAGAAAAGTCACATCATCAGCTTGACGGTGGAAAGCAGGACCGGTTTAGGTGATCGAACAGGACAATTATCCCAAGTATATATCAAAGTGCTGCTGGGATATATAAAACAGGCTAATATTTAGCTTGAAAAAATGCTCTCAGCCTCAGCCTTAATTAAAAAAAAACATGAGCAGCATTACTATTTTGATTGAGGGTGTTTCCACAATTCAAAAGTATGCACCTAATTGTTGTTCCATAATAAAATAATTAAATCTGTGAGGCGACCCTGAACAAAGACTAGTTCAAATGCATCATTGTAACTGTGACATTCATGCCAGTCATGTGTTTATATAAACCTCTGACTGAACTGTGACATATCTGACATATGACCTTGCAGGCTTGGTTTTATCGAAGTCCTGAGGCAAGAGCGACTGCATACCATGAAGTCAGTTTGCTTCCTGAAAGCTAAATGCTCTGCAGAGACTTCCTTGGAGGAACAATGGAGTCTCTGATTTGCTTCCCATGCTGGCATGAAGAGCTCTGCTGCGCTGATCACACTGCTGGTATTTTGGCGGGTTGGGTTTGTTTTGTTCCAGGCCAGGCGAGTTTGAATGCACTCAGCAGGGGCAGGAAATTATTCACATAAGCCTCGATTGAGCCGCATGTGAGATTACATTACCAACTGGGAAAGTTGTTTTTGCCAGAATCTGCGGCACAGTCGCTCTTAAATTAACAGACTATTGTGAACAACTCAGCTGAGTTTCTGAGGGTTTCTGTGTTCAGCAATTAAGGATGTGAAACCTTTTTTTGTTTTTTTGTTACAATAACTTAGAGGGTCATAGTGACATGGAACGCCACAGAAAGTTTCTCCTTGCTTTTAGCAAAGAATATATGCCAGATTAAGAATACATTTAAAAGACACATGGAAAAAATATGAGTGTGTTTATGGGAATTTGTGAAAATTATTTCAGGAGTGCATTCGTCTAATCACATTGTCCAGTTGAATCTATCTCAGTTTATTGATCTTGCTTTGTGCTCTAGTTGATGCTCATATTGGAACTTAAAGCTGCAGTATGTAAGTTTTATAAAAAAAAGAAATATATATATATATTTTACATATTTGCTGAAACTGTCACTATGTTGTGACAGTATGAGACAGATAATCTGAGAAAATAAAAAATATCTGCCTTCTCCCAGTGCTAACTGGAAACAACCAGTCAGAGATAGAAGGAGGGTCTTAGTGCTGTCCATCATGTATGCGTTGCTTACCTAACACCTTCCCTCTCCCTTTGCATTTTTCTCAAGAGGTTGTCTTTTCAACTCACAATTCGTTTGTGCTCGGTCTCATTTTACCCACCATGTCCAACTTTGCATTACAGGTTAATATCAATAATATCCGGGTTAAGTTATCCTAGCTTGGCAGCTAGCAGCCTCTCAACTCCTCACAATCTCTATAAGTGAAGGATGGGACCCCGGTGCAGAGCAGATGGAAATTTCCTTTTAACAAGGGAAAAAAACAACAAAAACAAACTAATAATCTGCACAGGAGAAAGTTGAGGCAATCAGACAGGAAAACAACAAAGGAACTGCACCGCAAGGAGACCAGCATGGAGAAAAAACAGAGCACAGAAAACAGGATAATCTGGTAAGGAGGTGAGAAAACTGTTCAGGTTACAACTACCAGGAGGGAGAGTGAGAGACATGAGAATCATGTGTGACTAATAAGAAGAAGGAAGGGCAGCTGGAACAACAAGAACTTCAGCAGGGAACTAAAGATAGAGGCTAATAAAAAAGGACACTGTGGGATTTTACCAAAACAAACCTGATTAAAGCTAACACATAATCAAAACTAAATACAGATAAAACAAGAAAGAACTGAGATTCTCACGACATGAAGACTGCAATAGAGGGGGTGATGACAAAAACACACTAAAGATGACAAAGGAGGAAAGAGTGCATAAGAATGCGATGATGATGATGAGAATGAACACTGCAAAGGAGAGGATGGTGTTAGTGATTGAGACAATGTTGGAGACATTAGAGAGGTTGCAGCAGATGGACGATGGATGGTCCAGACGTCGGTTCTGGAGGAGGCCTGCAATCACTCTCTGAAGGTTACAGTTTCATTTCTTTTGTTTTTTGTTGTGGAAGCTCCAAAGAGTCTCCATGGGGAGCGCAGAGCGCAGCTCAGGCTGCGTAGGCACCGGAGGACCGACGGGAACTTTGCGGTGATGACTTGTACCGGGCCGAGCTGAGACCTTGACCCATCTGCTTTCCTTATTTGTGTTTAAAAGTTTGAAAAATTTGTTTAGTGGATTTTCTTTTCTTTTCTTTTCCTTTTTTATTTTTTTATTTTTTTATTTTTTGCATGCTGGGAAAGTTTCCAGAAATTGCTTTTGATATAATTTCGCCCCTTGAGGTTTAAATTGTAAATTATAGTTTTGTCTTAACTTAATCTGTTTGGTCTGTGTTTAACAGTGAGAGTGGACAGAACTCCAGAGAGCGTATGGAGCAGCAGGAAACCTGAAGCAGGTGAGACAAAACTGCAGCACCATTACCATCGTGGGGTTCATACATTTCTTTCAAATCATTTGTTAAAAGAACTAAAGAATTTTACATTTAGTCATTAGTCATCAGCCTTACAAAAAGACAGATCTATTTTCATTTGAAAGAGAATTGTGGATGTGATTAGCAATTGTTATTTAGAGACAATTATTGAACATTAGTGGTTGTTTGATGCCTATGTTTGTATTTTTTATTCCGTCTTTCTTCCTGTGTTTCTTTTCCATGTTGTTTAGGTATGAAAATAACAGAAGCGTCCTTCAATAATGACATTAGTTACTAACTGCATCAGCTAAATTTACAATTGAGTAAATTGAGAAGCCAAGGCAGAAACATTTCATACATTTTGAGTGAAAACTGACATAAACTCTCGCGGATTGACAAATAGACACTTGTTGTTTTCATATCTGAGATAGTTCCAATTGCTGCCTTTCTTGTCTTTACTTTACTGAAAGACCATATTTTCATCTGGTTTTCTCTGGACTCCGTTTTATTCTGACTTATTGTCTTCAGGAAAGTCGTTCGTCCCTGCTGAAACTGCTTTATTTGTTTCGCTATCATCTCTTGGGGTCTCATGTGGCTGATAAGGCCTTTCATCCTGGTGCTGGCAGAGATTTGTGGTGGTTTTGAATTTTTGTAAATGCCTCCACAGAAAAGGATTCTGTGGCCTTTTAGAGTCACTGTCTTCGGGGTGTTAAAGTGGCAGGAATTTCACTTGCTCGGATTGACATAGCTGCCTATCTATTT